CCTTTAATTCCATGAAGAAATATGTGTCCATTTTTACTGCACTTAATCTGTTTAGTGTACCATTTTTGAACAAGTGTACCATTTGTTAACATCTCAAGATATTTAGATGACAAAGATTATTTGTTAGTAATAGATGAAACCAACTGCTTCGATGGGTCACGTGCTTCCTGCATGTGCCTGCCTGATGGCGGCGTCTCGCGTTAACGCTGGTCCCTTTGTTCAGGCCCGGCACTACATGCAGATGCTGCCCAAGGAGAAGCAGCCGGTGGCTGGCTCAGAGGGGGCGCAGTACCGGAAGAAGCAGCTGGCCAAGCAGCTCCCCGCACACGACCAGGACCCGTCCAAGTGCCATGAGCTGTCTCCCAAAGAGGTGAAGGAGATGGAGCAGTTTGTGAAGAAGTACAAGAGCGAGGCTCTGGGAGTAGGAGATGTCAAACTTCCCCGTGAAATGGACGCTCACGGCCCCAGCAGAGTGGACAGCCCAGGAGGGGACCGAAGCACGGCGGCCGCGGTGGGGGCCAGGGACGAGAAGTCGGCCGAGCCCAGAATTCAGTATGTGAGTAGAGCGGGCGCACCGTCGGCCCAATGGGTGTATGCTACAGGTTCTTTCCCTTTCTTTGAACCTTTTCTTGGGGCTACTCCTCTGTTTCTAAAAGGGCGTAGGTGAGGGAAATAAACTGAATGAAAATTCAGTGTAGACTGATTTTAGAGAATCATCATATTTGAAACCTCTGCCTAAGGCCAAGTTTTCTGATTACTTTTTGCGAAGTGTAATTGTGAGTTTTACGTATACATTAATGGTTAGTTAGCATCAGTGTCATTCTGGAATGCAACATACTAATCTAGAATTTGTTTCTAAACATAATTTTGGTGTTAATTGTTTGTCTCTTCCCATAAACAAGAATAGTGTATGCTTAGGTGAATTTAGTTTTGCTTGTGAGACTGTGCCTAAAATTCAAACTTAAATTTATGTGCATTTATGTTCAATCATATTTTTAAAAAATCTCCTAGAGAGGGAAATTGAAGTCTTTTTTTATACCTTGAAGAAAATAGATGAACAAAACACAAGAATTAAACTTAATATCTTTCTCAAAGATCCAATTAGCACATCAACCACTAAGGCTTAGTCCTATAAAAAAAAATTTTTTTTAAGTACTAATAAACTCTAAGGTTATCCGCTTTTAGACACGCAATTAAAATTTCGGTGAAAATTAGCTTTTTTCTGTAAATGACTTTAATTCAGGAAACAATACTCTGCTACACATAGAGTGTAAGAATTAGGTTTGAACCGCTTGGGAGATTCTGTTTCACAGAAGTACCAACACCTTAGTTGTCTACATGGACAAACTACTAATTTCAGTAGAAATTATTTCTGTTGACAGTTTCTCCAAATTTCTCCTAAAGCTGACGAGAAATGACAGCCTTATGATAACGACATTGGGTGGTTTCCCTTTCAGTCCTGCTACTGCTGCAAGCTGACTATGAAGGAAGGCGACCCAGCCATCTATGCGGAAAGAGCCGGCTACAATAAACTGTGGCACCCGGCTTGTTTCGTCTGCAGTACCTGCCGGGAACTCCTGGTCGACATGATTTATTTCTGGAAGAATGAGAAGCTGTACTGTGGCAGACATTACTGTGACAGCGAGAAGCCCCGATGTGCTGGCTGTGACGAGGTCTGTTCTCTGGGGCCACCTGCACGCAGGCTCACCTTTGTACCCCTATACTCCCCTCTTACCGTTCTAAGGCTACTTTAGCGAGACAGCAACGTGAATTAACCAAGCAGCTGTTGCTTTCTTTACATCCAAAGAAGTTCAATGAAAACACTTTTAATTTCAGTCATTCTGAGTGTTGTGTTAATTGTGTTGACTAATGAAAGATTGTCCCAAAATAGAAAAGATAGATTCTGACAAAACCAAATAGTAACCTAAGTTCAAGCTTCAGGTTGTTTTCAAGCTTCAACCCAAGAAAGTAAGTTGATACACTTGTGGATCCGAATATCCCTTATTGTCTAAAGAACCTAGCTTTGTTATTTGTAGCGAAAAGCAAACCCCATGATTCATCTTATCTTTATCCTCTTCCCAGCTGATATTCAGCAACGAGTACACCCAGGCAGAAAACCAAAACTGGCACCTGAAGCACTTCTGCTGCTTTGACTGTGACAACATCCTGGCTGGGGAAATCTACGTGATGGTGGATGACAAGCCCGTGTGCAAGCCCTGCTACGTGAAGAACCACGCTGTGGTGAGAAGTGCTCTGATGCGGTTGCCTCCACCTGCATTATGACCGACTTGGTGCCTTTATTTAAGGTCCTACAAGTGAGAACAGAAAGCACTGCTCTCAAGTAGGAAACATGATTCCTACTGTAGGCTGTTAAAATCCAGATACTTCAAAAGCAGTCCATGTACTGACCATGGGCCACCTCAAGATTTCTTATGTGTGCAGTTTATACTGTAGAGTATAGATGCTGTGTGATAATCAGATCCCCGCTGAAAAAGTGCCTTCATGAGAATGAGATTGATTGATTCTCATCATACAGATCAGATTCCATCTACATGAGGTTCCCAGAGGCTGATGACATTCTTTAGCCCCATTTCAGTGTTTATGGTTTCTGTTCATGTTACTAGACCACCCACTAGGGCTTTGTTTTTGCGGCTTGGAAACGGTACAGTGCCTATTTTTAAAAACACATACTGAATTGATTTACTATAACAAAACTTGACCTACAAATTTTGGTTTGGAGTTGGTAAATCTTAATGATTTTCCATTTACCATTCGGTTGAACTAAATCAATCTAAAGGATTTATTTACATGGGCCAAACATTCAAATATTTAATGCGAGAGCATAGTTTTTTTCTTGGGTCTACCCTATTTACACAGAGCTGCTATTGCATGATGGCCAAGAGATAGATAATTTAGATAAAGGGTAAATTTTAAAAATTAACCATATGTTGTAAATATTTATATGCAGGAAAATATGTACTAGTTAAAGATCCCCCTGAGCCATCTAGCAGAGGAGACTCTTGGCTAAGAAATAAAATGACATATTTGAATAGATCTAGCAGTATGATACTATGAAAATAAGGTTTTGGTGTCAATGCCAATTTTCAACGCTTACCAATTGTCCCCACTATAATCAGCCATTTTCTGTCAACTGCCTTATCAGTAGATCTCAAATCCTCAGTTACAGCTACTCTACTTCAGTTATTTTTGTTATTTGGATGATGGCAGTGACCTCAAATGTGGTCTTTCCACGTCCATTCTCAATCTTGTTCAAAGCCACCTTCCATAATGCTAGAAGATACTCTTTCTAAAATGCAAATTCGATCCTTCAGCTTTTGTTTACTAGATCCTGATCCTTCTTTCCTGTCTAGAAGCTTCTACTAGTTATCCAACCCAAATCCTACATCTGCACAGCACGTTACCAGCGTTTTCTAGTTTCTGCACTATTCTTTGTCTCCTGCCACGCTTGCTCCTTTGTCTGATATACCCTCCTATTACTGTTTGACCGGACTATGCCTCCACATTCCTCCACTCAGTTTAGGCTTAACACTTTTCAGAACACCCTTCCTGATTCCCTACCCCAAGCTCCACCCCTTTCTCTCTGGTTAGGCTGGCTGCCTGTCCGCTCCCACTGGGCCCAAGCATGTGTAACTGTTAATAGCACTCATCTGTCTCCTCCACAAGACTGTAAGCAGCTGGAGGGTAGAGTTTGCCTTTCTATTTCCAGCTCCTCAGTGCCTGCACCCAGGAAATGTCTAAGTGACTGACTTATGTTCTGATAGTTGTTATTTGTTTGGGGTCCACATGGCCCCTTCTTATATCTGGGGAATAGATGCTGAATCACCATGTGGCCTGATACATAATTTAGCCAAAAAACTGCTTCTCTGAATTTGTTGCAACAGTTTCTCTGCAGAAGAGGGTTGTCATGATGTATATTTATTATAGGGTCGTGTGACCTTGGTCTCAAGGGCTTGAATGTAAACTCCATGAGGGCAAGGACTTGAGTCTGCCTAGTTTTCTGTTCCGTTTCCACCACTACAACAAAACAGTAGGTACTCGGCAAATACTTATTTTATAAAGCTCTAAATCGATGAGGCTTTTAAAAAACTTTTACATTGTTATCTATTATATATTACATTTTGTATCTAATTAATGGAGAAAATTATAACCACAGACATGATTTTTACAAAAAGTGAGAATCTCTAAATTATTTAGCTTTATACTATGACATAATTTGTTTTAGAGGTTTACTTTTCTGTAAGACATACTATTGCCCTTTGCCTAATATCAAAATGAAAATGTATCTGTCTCTGAAACAAACTCCAGCTGATGGCAGAGAAAGCTATCCATGCAACAAGTTAAAAGATTTAAAATTTTGAAGATTATCTAGTTCAGGGCATTGATCTCCTTAGATCTTTTAATTGTTTTTAAAGGAGGGAGAAACAAATTATTTTTAACCTGAAGCCAAGAACTCTGCTCAAAACAGGGCATTTCTGAGGAATAAACTAACCTAGAAGGATAATGGGAAATGCACGGAGTTTTTCTCTGCATTGCCGCTGAATCCCAGTCTGAAATGGCCACCCCCAGAATTCACATCTTCAAGATTCCACAGGATCCTGCTGCCAGAGAGCTCATTACAGCAAGGGTCATTAGCTATTTCACATTATGTATGCAAATACAAGAAGTAGGAGGGCTTGAAGGAAAGAAAAACTCTAAGATTTAAGAACACAGGAAGCACATCATCCCCTAAAGGGTTTTGTAGTCCTCAGCCCTCAGGGAGGCCTGGCGAGCTTCAGAAGTATGAGGAATTAGAGATCAGTACGTTTTACCTAGGATTACATGTCATACCTCAGGGTGAATGGCAATCAAATATACAACAATAAAACTGAATTTTGTGAAACCGCAAAGCCTAAATTCTGATACCATCCCGTGTGCTCATTAGTTACTTTTTCCTTAATTTTGTGTATAGTTGAGGAATAGTTACCTCTTTTATAAATTGCAGATAAAAATGTGTGTTTTACAAGATTATAAAAAGATCCATAAATCTTATTACAGGGCTGAGATAAAAAAGGTAAATCAGATAAACCTGGGCCGAGATATAAAAGAAATAAAAAATGGAGTGTGAAGTGCTTCAGTTTACACAAGTTTAAAAATATTGAAAAATTAATATATAGAAAACTACAAAGGAGAACATTCTAAATGTACTATAAAGCTATAAAAAATGAATATACCAAAGTAAGTGTTTGCATGGTACAGCTGCCAATTAGGAGTGTGTCTGTAATTATAACACTCACTTTTGTTGTATTCAGGAATAGTATATTGATACGCAAAGAGAATATCTCCCTTGCTTTACAGGGAAGAGTAGGTTGGCATAATGTGTGAATTAAGCAGCTACAATATCTGTACTTAGAAGCCATGCATCTCTTAAAAATTTGGAAACTATATTGCAGGCCTGAAATGGAGATTTGCAACAAGGCGTCACTTCACACCCGAACCAGTCTACCCACTGAGTAGCAGCCACATTTTGAGGTCTTTTCAAGTACGGAGGCTCAGGCTAACTAACCCTCCTCAACCCACCCAGCCTTCATCTCTCAGTGACTCCTGACAATCACATAAAGAGACCAAGAGTGCTGAAGCTTGTCACTTCCATGTAATGCTGGACAACCTGGTTGGTGTCTTCACTTGCTGTAAAATACTGAAAACAAAAACATTAGATTGTCACATTCACTCAGAACATGCATAAACAAGAAGGCACATGAACTAGTGTTTTGCAGATAGCTGGGTAGTTTCGCTTTTTGCTCTAATGAGGGTTATTCAGTTATTTTCTCCATAGACATGAATAGCAGTGAAGAAAATCATGTGTATTTGAGGGTGTGATGTGTCTATGTCATATATATGTTTGTATATAACATGCATATACACTGAATGGTATAGGGAATGTAAGTATTAATGTTGTCCAATATTAGATAATACATAATTTTTTACTAATGGCAGAACAGAAGCCGATTAACTACAAATTATAATTTTAGTGCAAACTAATTACTCTCACTGTCAGTGTTTTTAATTGAGTCTTTAATTACATGGAGCATGACTTTCATTTACTACTGTCTAGAAATTAGTGGTGTTAATAATCTCATGTGTCATAGGTAAGTGATAAAATTACTGCAAAGCTTTAATGAGAGAGGAAAAGTCTTTTTTTAAGACTTTTTTTTAGAGCAGTTTTATGTTTACAACAAAATTGAAAGGCAGATAGAGATTTCTCATATGCCCCCTGCCCCACACAGGCATAGCCTCCCTCATTATCACTGTCACTCACCAGAGTGGGACATTTGTTTCCAAGGATGAACCTACATTGACACATCAATCGCCCAAAGTCCATAGTTCATCTAAGGGTTCACTCTTGGTCTTGTGCATTCTGTGGGTTTGGACAGTGTATAGGACGGACAAATTTTACACACACACAGACCATGTACACACACACCCCGACACACACACATACACACACGCTGTTATACTAGCATACAGAGGCGCTTCACTGCCCTACAAGTCCCCTGTGCTCGCCTGTTCGTCTCTCCCACCTCCTGCCACCTGCCCCACCCCTCGCAACCACTGATCTTTGTATCGTCTCAGTAGTTCTGCCTTTTCCAGAATGTCATAGTTGGAATTATACAGTAAAGTAGCCTTTTCATCTGGCTGCTTTCACTTAGTCATATGCTTTTACGCTTCCTCCATATCTTTTCATGACTTGATGGCTCATTTCTGTTTAGCCGTGAATAATATTCCAACGTCTGGAGGGATCACAGCTTATTTACCCATTCCATTCACCTATGAGGGACATCTGTGCTTCCAATTTGGCAGTGATGGATAAAGCTGCTGTAACCACCCAGGTGCAGGATTTTGAGTAGATATTAGTTGTCAACTCCTGTCTTCAAGACGAAAGAATGTGATTCTTGGATTGTGCGATATGAGTGTGTTTACTTGTTAAGAAACCGCCCAGCTGCCCTCCAAACTGGCTGCACCATTTGCGTCCCTGCCAGCCGTGGGTGAGAATCCCTGTGGCTCCACGTCCTCCAGCACTTGGCATTGTAGGAAAATCATAACCTTTTATATAATTACTAGTGTGTAATCTAACAGAATATGCTGGAGCCAAGCGCACTGCTCTGGGGCTCCATCAAGACGCTGTGCCTTTCAGCAGCACCACAGGGCATCCGTCACCTGCTCATTCCCTCGGCGCTCAGCACAGACCCCCACCCGGAGCTGTGGGCTGCGGACACTGATCAGCAGGGCACTCATTCCCTCCTTCTGTGTCCCTCCAGGTGTGCCAGGGCTGCCACAATGCCATCGACCCCGAGGTGCAGCGGGTGAGCTACAACAACTTCAGCTGGCACGCGGCTGCCGAGTGCTTCCTGTGCTCCTGCTGCAGCAAGTGCCTCCTCGGGCAGAAGTTCATGCCGGTGGAGGGCATGGTCTTCTGCTCCGTGGAGTGTAAGAAGATGATGTCCTAAGGGGAAGCCCTGCCCAGAGCAGCCGGGCCCGGCCCACAGGGCTGCGCGGCTACTGTAACATTGCAATTTGGAAAAATAAATAGAAGAAAAGAAACTACATGGGAGCCAGAAGATTTTGTTAAGCATCTTTCTTTCCTGGTTTTCCTTATCCATTTTTTTTTCATCTCATCATTTACAACCTGTTTTAAGCATTTGATTTTAAAAACAGCAAAGAATTTTATTGCTCTAGCTTTCCAAATCTAAACTCTTTGCGTTGGAAGCTTGGGTTTAATTACTCTTTGTCCTCATCCACCTTGTGCCAAAGTATATATGAAACACTTAAAAGTTAGTGTGCTGAATGAGAAGATGAGCATTTCTAGTTCCATATTCGCGATTCCCTCTAGTATGAAGTGAAAAGGAAATGAAACATTCCCTAACGCCAAGGCTGTCCACTTATGGCCTCTTCGTAGTCACTGAACTTTGTAGTGACACACAGTGAATTCTTCTGACAGGGAAACAGACGCAGCCTCGGATGGAGAGCTCTTATCATTTTCATCCTAGGCCCTCGCCATTTCCTCATTGAGGCAGAGGGGGCTTCATTGCATTGCGTTTCTCTTCGCCTTCATTTACCCTGCCTCTCAGTGTTCTCTTTGTAAGCTGGTGACCTCCATCTGTGGCCTTGAGTATTTTATTGTCACATGTGGCATCCACACTTTTTACTTCTATAGATGACTTTTGGCTTGGACATAAAAGCCAAGCTGTTCATTTATATCATATTTTCAATCCAAAGAACACGTATACTTTTTATACCCAAGAAACTATAACCTGTACCGATTGCACTTGCCTGACGTGGTGTGGGTAGATGTTTTTTGCATGGTTTTTATTCTTTTCTAATGGATACTGTACCGTGATGCTTCTAAGCCTCTTCATGGGTATATCGAATGTCCTCTTCACCTATATACTGCCATCCTTAGGTATTCCTAATGTTTATTTTTCCCTATGTACTTTCATACACTATGCACTATAAAAATGAAATGTAATGAATGATATGTATATTATTCAAAATAAAATCTCACTTTAATAATTGCACTTTTCATATCTTTTTGAGAGAAAAAAAATCCTTCTGCAATTAAACACTTGTTACAGCAGGGGGCGCCAGCTCCAAGGATTAAAATTGACCCAGCCGGAAATTAAGGCTGTTTCTGACAAGACAGAACAGAAACTAGGCTTTTCGTTTTGATGAGAGGATAAGTTTTATGAAACTTTAAAGTAAATCAAGGCATTTAAGTTGTTTTCAAGGCATGTGGGAGTTTTTTTAAAAAAAAGGAAAATGTCATTTAACTGAAGTTTGGGAAAACTATTGAGGTGAAGTTAACAAGTATTATACTCAAATTGCAATTCTATTTGGTTTTCTAAGAATTTTTTCATGGCAATCTATTGTGAAAAGGAAGCAAATATGGAATCATAGTAAATTCATTCTTCCTAATATTAGCAAATCATGAGACTTATTCCCTCAGTGTGAAGTATTTCTGTCATAGAGGGAATAACAGTTTTCTTGACACATACCCAGAATAATTTGATTTTTATTTTATGTTTTTTCAGTTCTTATTTGTTTGGCTGATAGTGCTTCTTCTTAAATTCCACCACCACTACCACCGCCAGACATGGCTAAGTGGGAATACATTGAAACAATTCCCCTGCCTGCTAACATGGCCACTCTTCATATATTTGCCTGCCTGGCCTCCATTCTCATGGGGCTGAGGTAGAATCAGATTGTTTTGGAGAGTACACAAAATTTGATCAAATCCATAATTTACTACCAAAGATTGTAATTGCATGTATATTAGGCATTTCCTAGAAAAATAAACTACTTTGCCTGGGAGATAAACAGAACCACTAGGTTTGACTATTCTGATTTATTTTTAGATTGGCCTTGTAATACAAGAGAATGAACTCTCTGTGTGAGAGATTTTGAAGTTCTTTGCCATTTTTGTTCTATTAAAAAAATAAAAATAAAAACTTTCAAATACTTGGTCCTATAAACACTTAAGAGAATAAGATGGTTACTAGATTGGTTAAATCCTTCCCTTGCAATGTGAAAAGAGAGAGAAGTAATAAAAGTCTTTATCTAGATTCATGCATTTCTTTTTCTTCAAAAGTAGATAATGAAGAATAACCTTTTGTTCTACTTAGTTCCTGTTGGTCAGTAAATGGAAATCTTTGCCATTCCAAATCCCATGTAAATTCTGTTTTTCAGAGATACAGCTTTACCTTTTGTATTCAACACAGCAGGCATTTAACAGTCACATCTGTGCAGTCAGCAGGAGAGACCCTCACCCTGGGAGAACTGTGCTGGGAGGGAGGGGATACCAGTATAGGAAACACGATGGAGGCACCAGAAAGCAAGAAACCACCATCTTGGATATTAGAAGGGATAATGATGACTTCTGATTCTGTCATCCCCTAATCAGCAGTGGGTACTTGAGAACAGGAGGGGTTGGATAAGAAGAAAGAGGGTAGATATTTCTTTCCTGAGACCCAGGAAATTCAAAAGAGATTTTGACACATCATCAGTTGCTGAAGTATATTGAAGCAACACATTTATCATCTTATTGGAACAGACCATATTAGAGTGATTAATCACGAACTCATTCTCAGAAGTGCACATATCTCATTCATCTCTAAGCAGAATTTTGCTCAGAGCCCTTGGATACAGTTATAGTTTTGAGAAATCAGTCGATTTCGGTTATTTAATCCCGTTAAGAAATACCGGATGCTCAAGAGACTCACTGGTATCTTTGTATTTTATTTTTTTGGAAATGAGGGACTGACGGCTGTTTTTCCTTTAATCAACCTTAGCTGATACTTCTATGACTCAAGCCTTCAAGCACACATCTCCAAATCTGACTTTGAAGTATTTCAGCCTAATTTCACCAAAGCCAAAAGATTCACTATTGACTCATTTTTAAGGAATTTCCAACACGCAGTGTTTAAGCTCATCCAACTTCACCATGGTTACCAAAGACACACCACCACCCAAGATCAGTATTACGCCTTTGTTTCAAGATACCCTGGCAGATCTGAACTTGTTCACTTACTTCCTCAGAAAACTTATGACTCCGGTAATTTCTCCATAAAATAGCACTTTACCACAAATTCTTATGAGATTCTCTCTGCCCCTCCCTGACCTCCCCTGATTTAAGTGCTCAATGACAACTTTGATGATTATACTGAATACTCACATATGAAAAGGACTCATTGTGCCAGGGTACATGGGTGTGTTTTGAATATTCAACTTGAAACACATTCTTGCTCGACTAATAGAATCTTTTCATATATTTACTAGATGTTTAAATAGCTTTAGCTAATTATTTTGTCTCCTCCTAGGGAATAACAGGCCATTGTCGTTTCCGTTTAACTTGATAATGTATTTGGAGACACTCAAAACAAGATATCATTAACATTTTATACTTGCTTTGAATGGCATTTCATGCTGACATTTATGCAGGCTGCTATTGATTTTTCTTCAATGATACTTCTCCCCAGGATATCCTGACCTTCGGACAGTAACAGCAACAACTTGTACCCAGTTGTCTTTACTAGAGTCAGTCATTACTGAATGCAGAGACATTAGAGTTGATGTCACCAGAAATACTGACTGGGAAGGCATTTTGATGTAGTTAAAAGGAGGAGGAGGGCTGGGTTTAGGAGCCTAGGGACCTTCTGGCTAAGTTGCCTGATTCTCCTCCTCCTCAGAGTTACAGCTGAGTGGGATGGAGGACACGATGGTTGAATTTGAGGAGTCTAGGAAATAGGCCTAAATACAGGGTGGACATCTATGAATACACTGACATCATCAAGAATAATAACAGGGGAAATGGTGAAGAGACGAGTGAGCCAGAGGCTAAAGTTATCCAAAAAAAATGTGAAGGAGTGTCCTGGAGTTTGATAGAAGATGGCAACTAAGGAGAGGAATGACTGGTGAAGCCTGAGGCCCTGCACTATACTTCAAAGAGCTTCGATGGTTAGGAAATGAAAAAGGAATGAGTGGAAATAACAGTGCAGAATGAGTAAGACACCGGCCTCTCAGGCACTGTGAAATGCCCACACGGGAGAAATAATAGCTGGCCTCTACATCAGAGTGCGACATACAGAGGAAATAGAGACCTTGAGGGGTAACAGAGTACCAGCAGGAGCCAGGAGATGACGAGGTCATCCGACTGGAGTACAGGAATACAATTGTATTCGTATTTATTCCCCTGGAACCCAATAGAGCGCTTAACACATGATATGTGCCTCCAAAATGGTGAATAACGTAACAAAATGAATGACCGTATTTTGCTGTGTATAATGTGCTCCTGTGTATAATGCCCACCCACGTTTTTGGACCAAACATTGAGGGGAAAAAAAGTTTTGTTATAAGTTTTTAATTCAAATTTTTATTTGTTTACATTTAGGTACTGGGTTTTTTGGTATTATAAGGGAATTTTAGCATTTTTTTACCATTCTGGTACAAGAAATTTTATGTAACAAATAATTACAAAACACAAGAACAAATACAAGACACAAGAAATTTTATGCACCAGTAACAAATTTACTATATTTACGCAGGCCAAGACCTCTTCGTCAATGCAAGTTCAATGTAAGTTCAACAAAACCGATGATCATATTCCAGGGTATTATTTTGCATATGGATATCGTTATTGATTTCTAGAGTTACACTTTTGACTCATAAGCATAAATAAAATAATTAAAAACATTTATATAGATACGGAATTAGTACTACCCATGTATGACACACATCGTTGTTTTTCCCTCACAAATTTGGGCAAAACTGTGCGCATTATACACAACAAAATATGGTAAGTGACATCTGCATAAGCCATTAGAACCAGGTAAGAGTTTTACTAGTCACGATGAAATTTATTTGGTCTAAAGAATGGAGCAGTAGAACAACTATAGCTCAGTTGCTTTAAATTTTAAAAAGTTGAACGTTTTGGGGTGGCCTAGTAGCTCAGTTGGTTAGAGTGTGCTCTGAACAACAAGGTTGCCAGTTTGATTCCCCCATGGGATGGTGGGCTGTATCCCCACAACTAGACTGAAAACGGCAACTGGACTTGGAGCTGAGCAGCGCCCTCCACAACTAGATTGAAGGACAATGACTTGACTTGGAGATGATGGGTCCTGGAAAAAACACACTGTTACCCAATAAAAATTTAAAAAAAAAATTGAATGTTGAATTTTTTAAATGCTGATACAAGGATCAAAGTGCATTGCCCTCTGCAATCTTATTAAAATTTCCTCTTCTGTCCTATCTGCTTTCCTCACTCCAGCTGCTATCTCCACAAGTTCCCCAAACCTCAATCTTGCTCAGCTTCTTTTGTACTCTGACATCTCCACTTCTCTTCATTGCTTCATTCATTCATTCACTCACTCATTCAGTCAATCAGTATTTATTGAGCATTTTCTGTATGCCTGGACTGGTCGCAGGCCCTGGGAACAAAGCAGTGAACAAGAGAAACAGGATCCCTGCTCTGATGGTGCTTGATATTCTAGAGAGAATAGCAGTAACGAATTCTAACACATATAATCAATGCAATGTGGCCACATGGGGAAAATAAGATTCAAGATCAGAGAATACAGCATAAATAATAAAAGGTCAAAGCTATTAAAAATATTAGATATAGCCACTAGGCTATAAGGAGGTTCAAATTATTCTAAGATTCTAAGCATTGGCCTTTCTCTTTACATGTGAGAATTGGGGTCTTTTTGACAGTCTGAGTGGGTTGAGGGAAGGCTGTGAATTCTCCCACATGAATCATTTATACCTCACTGCCTAAGAAATTACTATTAGATCTTAGGGCTAACAGAACTTCACTCTCCAAGGAAAGGTGTTCATTTCCTCATTTCCGAAATTGAGAGTGACACAAATAACTATATCTCCCTTTGATTTTGCCTTCCAGGAAGTTTGAATAAAATCTGACCCTCCACTCTCATAGCTACTATGACTTAAATATCTGTTAGTTTTTCAGAAATTTTGTTTAAGTTCTCCTTTTGACCTACTTCAAATTCTTTGTGGAATTAGATGG